GCTGGGCCCCGGGCGGCGCCGCGGGCGGCGCCGTTCAGCTCCCAACGCCGTTCAGCCCCCTTCTCGGCTGCTCTCGGCACTCCCAACCCCTCGTCAACCCCTTCCTGATCCAGCAACACAAATGTCGCACCCTTTATGCGTTTCAAGCATTCTGATGCCACCCCGAGCCTTTACAGCGTATGATCGACCTTCCTCCCCCCCCCAAAAAAATCCCCCCTATCCCCAGTTCTGGTGGTCCTCCCTGATTGCCGCCCTGCGCCAGCAGTCCGCTGCCGCCGCCGACGAGCGGCTGCGGCTGCTGGGGGAGTGCCTGGCCGGCGTGGCGGCCGTCAAGGCGCTGAGGGCGGAGCGCGACATAGAGGCGCGCATCCAGGCGGCGCGGGCGCGGGAGATGCGGGCGCTGCACAAAATCGCGATGCTCAAGGCCCTCAATTACAGCCTGCAGGTGAGGGGGGTGAGGGGGGAGGGGGTTGAGGGTCGTGAGGGGGCCGCGTGTGAATGTGTGCGCCCAATGCCTGTGCATGTGTGTGAGTGTGTGTTTTGTTTGTGTGTGTTGTGTGTGTGTGCATGTGTGCGTGTGTGTGTGTGTGTGTGCATGTATGCGTGTGTGCGTGTGTGATTGTGTGTGTTATGTGTTTGTCAGTGTCTACACATGCCGGCAGTGGCTCGAGGTCTGGCAGGCACTCCAGTGTGAGTGTTGAAAACATGGGTGCAATGTGTTTCGATCAACATCTTGGGCCTGTAGGCAGCAGCCCGACGTCCCCCACTTGCGTTGCTATGCCATGAGCATGGCGACCCCAAATTTGGAACGGACACTGCATCCCTCCCTCTGTCACCCAAACCCCGCCGCTCCCCAAACCCCAATCCTCTCCGCCCAAAACCCCCCACCAAAATCAACTATCCCACCGCAGTACATCACGACCCCCATCGCGGCCCTCCTGCTCTTCACCACCGCCTACGTCCTGAACCCCGACGTCGACGGCGGCCTCAACGACGCCGCCATCTTCTACTCCCTATCCCTCCTGGCCCTCCCCGAGTTCTACCTCCTGCGCATGTTCGTGCGCAGCTGGCAGCGGCTGCAGGAGGCACGCACCAGCGCGGCGCGGATCGACGACATACTGTCCGCCCCGGAGCCGCCGCCGTCGGCATCCGAAAAGTGGCTGGCCGCCGCAGCGGCGGCGGCGGGGGGCGGCGGCAAGGGCGCGCCGGCGGCGGGCACGGGGCCGCTGCCGTTGCGGGGCACGGTCGAGCTGCGGGGCGGCCGGTACGGCTGGCCGGGCGGCGCGCTGTCTGCGGCGGCGGCCGGGGACGCCGCGCCGGGGCACGGCGGCGCCCGCAGCGACGCCGGCACGGATGCCGCAGCAAGCGATGGAGGCGGCGGCGGTGATGACGAGGCGGGCGGCAGCTATGGGATCGACATGCAGCCAGCGTTCAGCTTTGTCAGCAAGGCATCGAGTGAGCCCCGCGGCGGCGGGGACGGCGGCAGCGGCGCTGGGGGCGTGGCTATCCACGACATGGAGTTACTCATCAGGCCCGGGCAGCTGCTGGGAATCTGCGGGTCCACAGGCGCGGGCAAGTCCTCCCTGCTGGCCTGCTTGCTGGGAGAGCTAGAGGAACGCTCCCCTGGCTCGTCGGCCCATCTGGGCGGCGCCGCGGCGGCCGCCGCGCTCGAGCGCGCGGCGAGCGCCAGCGCAGCGCTGGGCGGTGCCGCCGCCGCGGCGGGCGGGCTCAGTGGCTCGGGCGGCGCGGCGGGCG